AGCTGCATTGCATGGTTCAGTTTTCCTTTCCTCTCCTCATACTCCCGATTATTGCTAATGAACAGAAAAAAATTTAACTGCAACAAAGACAATTATACAACCTGAGAACTTTATTTTGGCCAAAAAATGAATGCACAGTTCACTGAATATAATTATAACATATTACAACATGCCAACATTTAAATGCTGAATTTTTTAAATACTATTATAAATTACAATGAGCCATAATTTAAATACATCAGTGCATTTTTATGCCCCTGAAAGTGCTAGAAAAATAAAGCTGAACTGTACCAAGAATGCAGGAATCGTCTCAGTGCTGGTGGTTTCAGAGTCTGTCTCTGATATTTTAACTTCAAAAAAATAATGAAACTGCACCAACAGTGTCTACCCACAGCCCACAGTCCACTCTAAACACTCTTGTGAGCTGACCAATGTCTCTCTCACTCTCTCTTTTTCTGTTTAGCCGAGTTAAATAGTTTAATATGGAGTCAGCAATCTGACCTGCACTTTACTTGCAGTCTATTAGAGCCACAACTCTCTTTCACTTTTCTGCTCTTCTCTCTTTTTCTATTCTTCTTTCTTCTGCCTTGCTGTCTTTGTTATATCTACCTCCTTCTCTTTCTTTCTTTCTTTCTTTCTTTCTCTTTTGTTTCTTACCCTCACATTGTTCTATCCTTCTCTGTTTCTTATGCTTTGCTCACTCTGTTTAATTCATTTTTGCCCTCTGATGGTCTCTGTCAATTTCTTTCTTTCTTTTTTTCTTTACTTCTTCTCAATTTCTCTCTTTCTCCTCTCTCTTCTTTCCCTTTCCTCTTCATTTGTGATCTCTCTTCTTTCTTTCCTCTCTCTCTCTCTCTTCTGTCTCCTCTCTCTCTTTCTCTCTTCTGTTTCTCACCGCCCTCCCCTCATCCCCCCGTCTCCGTGGCAATCACCCACGGCACCTCGGCTTGTCCGGGACGTCAACGATCGCTCAAAATAAGGAGCTGATGTAGTGCTTCCCGATCACTGATCAATAGCCAGACACACACACTCACACACACTCGTACACACACACATTTAATGAAGGTTAAGTGGAGTGTGAGTTGTGGAGGCTGCCGGTAAGTTTGGGGTTTGAATTCGGAGCAGTATTGCCCATAACTCCACACAGCTATTAAAGAAAAGGAAAAGCCACTTTAGATAAAAGCCTCTTCCATTACCAATACAGGGACACAGAACTGGTTTATATTAGAGTCTGCTCCAAGACACACGCGTGGTGTGGTTGGTTGGTTAATTTCAGTGTTAATTTTTGAGTAAAGAGAACTCTCACAAAAATGTGTCACACAAAAATGACTGCCCCTCTGACCAATATTCAACCATTCTGTCAAGAGCTCTGAAAGCTGAATGCAGCTCAAGGTTAAACAGAAAAAAGTCTCCCTGATTAAATTAAACAATATAGAAATCTCTTGAAAACAGATATTGAACATCTATTCATTTCAGTTTATAGAAATGACAATAATTTATAGCTGATTTGATATATCTTGTAAGACTCGCTAACATGAATTAAATACAGAGTTGTGTCTTGATGTGTGTGGGGTTGGTTGGCACATTGATTTTGGGGTTGGTATAGGGCTAGTGTTACAAACATTCATTTATGTTAAGTATTGCACACGTAATAAATAGATTACTGATTAACACTAGAATGCACTACTGTACTATATTACTATATGACTGTTTAAATTACATAAAACAAGTTGTTCTTTCCTCTGAGGTTTAGACCACTGATGACAACAAAATAACTATGCACACAAACTTGTTATATAATACAATTGTTTAAAAAGACTGGACATTTTATTTTTTTGAATATATTGTCATGTTTTAACATAGGCTAATAAAAGAAAAAAAAGTTTAAAATTGGTATAGTGGTCCCTTTTTATTATCTTTTACTACTGTTTCCATTATTGTTCTTCCATACAAGTCAATGTTAAGACTAATAAATCATTCCAAATCCGAACTCTGAAACATTTTCATCTGTTTAACTGATTAACATCGTTACTTGGTTGCCATTGAATATTTTATAGATATGTGGTTTGGTTCAAATTATAAGCTTAGACGATCATGATGACAAGTGTACAGTGTGAATTTTGTCATGAACGCATTAATTCCTGGAAATCATTTGAAAAATGTCTTTGGAAAGCTAAAATGTTCAGCTTTCTTTTGCTGTTATTGGTTTTTCTAATATATGGTATGCGTGGGATATAAGGCAGAGAATGAAACTAACCCCGCTCTCCCCTACTTCAATAAAATTCTGATGTATGTGTACTTTTCTAAGTATTTTCAAATGATATTTTTATACTTTATAGAGTGTATTCAGTTAGGAAATTAACCTTATTTTTACTCAGTTCCAATTGTAGTCACATTTAGTTTCTAACAGCTTTTTTTTGGCTTTGACTGAATTTTGTTTTGTTGGTTCAGCTCCTGGACAGCTTTACTGTTGCTCAAACCTTTCATTATTGGCTTGTAAGAGTTTAAGAGAAATCTTTCTTTTTATGCCTTTCAAATATATATTTAATCTTTTTGAGAACATGAGAACAATTTATATATATATATAATTGGTACCTGTAGTGAGACTAAAGACAAAGAGGCAAAACGCAAACACACCAACATGTGGTCAAACAAACTAAGATGCTCTCCTAAAGCAAAGGAAGTGAGGAATTTTACCCATTTAAAGCAGATGCAAGAGGTTATGAGTGTCCTTCAGCGAAAAGGCCAAATCCAATACATAAAGGCACTTACAAAGATGAACAGCTTGTAAAATCCAGTCCAGCACATTAAATCTGGAGAGGTCAGTGCTGTTTAACCAACAAATCCAATCCTAAAAGGTCCAGCATGGTGTTCATATCCTGAAATGCCACTTTTTGCACTTTGTTTAACCCTATCAAACCTATTGTATTTCCACAATCTATTCAGAGTGTTCGACTCCTTTAACTCAAAAAAATCTGATCATGTATATGCTGGTCAAAGTGCACTTGATGAGTATGTCGAATCAGAGCTTTCTGTATTTTCTATCACTACATAAAATAATGTCCATGCTGCTTTTATTCCTTTTTGTTTGTATATATATATATATATATATATATATATATATATATATATATATATACGCATACTGCAGTCCATTCATTTCTGTGCACAATTTGTTATCTCCCTTTCACCTTGTTCTACTACAGTGGTTATAATCCTCAAAATGACCACCACAGAGCAGGTATTATTTGGGTGGGGGATCATTCTCAGCATTGCAGTGACACTAACATGGTGGTGCCGTGTTAGTGTGTGTTGTGCTGGTACGAGTGGATCAAACACAGCAGTGCTGAAGCATTTTTCATACACCATGTCCACTCACTCTCCACTTTATTAGATACTCATATCTTGTTGGTCCACTTTGTAGATGTAAAGAAAGAAACAATAAATCATCTTTTGCTGCACAGTTTGTGTTAGTCACTCTTTACTCCTTCATCAGTGGTCACAGGATGCTGCCCACAGAATGCTGTTGCTGGATATTGTTGGTTGTTGGACTATTCTTAGTCCAGCGGTAGCACTGAGGTGTTTAAAAACTCACCAACATGCCACCACCACGTCCCTGCAGTGCTAAAAATGATTGAGCACCCAAACAGTATTAAGACTGAACGTCTAAGACTGAACTTTAGAGGTGTGGAAAAATATTGCTGAATGAAAGCTGTATTGAAGGTACACACTAAACACTGAAAAATGATTTTATATTTAGTTGTTGAGGCTTCAGTGGAATTTTCTGTTGTATATATATATATATATATATATATATATATATATATATATGTGTGTGTGTGTGTGTGTGTGTATAAATATATATACGTACATACATACAAGTATGTGTGTGTGTGTGGCGGGGGTGGGTGGGTAAGAGGAGCAGTGTTACCCTCTCAAACTCTGTCACACTTTGGGTTGAAGGTTATTATACACACACGCACACGCGTACATGATGCTGATGCAGATTGACTGGAGGCACTGAAGCTTTCAGACCAGCCAGGCAGCAGCATGACACACAACATGGAGAGAGAGAGAGAAAGAGAGAGAGAGGGAGGGAGGGAGGGAGGGTGAAATAGAGAAAGGGAGTGTGTGTGTGTGGAGCAGAGATAAATATACAGGTAAGCATCAGTGTATATGAATTTGAAAAGACAAAGAATGAGAGAAGGACAGAGAGAAAGAAAGAGCTGGAAAGAGTAGCAAAGAAGTCTTTTTTAAAGATAAGAATATAGAGCCATACTGGCATAATTTAATCAGGATTTGGCCCAGGATGTAATATGCATGAACACAACACACCTATATACACTAATGTTGGTGTATGTGATGCTCCACTACAGTAAATCTCTTACACAGACACATTGCCTGCCTTTCTGTGAAACCTCCATTCATTCTAACACTAAACCGCACACTCCCATCCAGATCAGCTTTTAACAGCAGTGAGAAACAAGAATTAAAATCCGGAAAAAAGGAGAAAAGTTTCTGCACAGAAAAAAAAGAAAAAGATAGAGGGACGTTTCTGCACTAAATCCCTTTTAAAACGTCCACAGTCTCCACAGGAGCTCCTGGATGCTGATTGGACGTGACATTGCTCCAATAAAACTTTCCACACAGCCTGTGTGTAGTTCACTATAACACACTCAACAATTTACACACAGAGGGAGGGAGAGAGAGAGAGAGAGAGAGAGAGAGAAGTAAAAGGGAGACACAGAGTGAGAAACAGAGAGGAAAAGAGAAAAAAAGAAAAAAGAGAGGGAAAACTAGCAGAAGGAGAGAAGAAGAGACAGAAAGACTGAAAGCGAGTGATTAAAAGAAATGTAAACAAAAAAGAAAAAGAATGATTGGGAGTGGTAGAGACCGGAACAAAGTAGAGGGTGAGAGAAACAGAGAGAGAGAGAGAGAGAGACAAAGAGAGAGAGATGAAAATAGAGAGAGAGAGAGAGCGGGTGGCCTTGTTGGCTTACCCTCAGTGGTGGCGCTGTGTGCTACAGCTCTATAGAGTGTGAACTCCTCCTGTGAGTGTGCGGCCTGCAGGGCGGCGCTGCTGAGCTCGGCGCACAGGGGGTCATGGAGGCTGGGGGATGGAGGCTGCGAATGGCTATGTTCTGATGGACTGGAGAGAGAGGATGGCATGGGAGAACCTACAGAGAACACAAAGCAACACAAACAAATGGAACAAAAAATCAACAAAAAACAAAACAAAAAAAAACGCCCAACAGTGGCAATGAGAGACTACAGAAAAGAGCACAAAACTGAATAGAGGAAAGAAAGTCTGAGAATGAAATTAGAAGTGAAGGCAACATGCAGTGTAGCATTCAGAAAGCTATAAATTAAGAAGCACAAAAATGTGCAGATGATTGAAAAAAATACTAAAAACGCTGAATAATGAAAATGCAAAATAGTGAAAATGTTGGTATGACATCAAGCAGTGTCACTGACCAGGCTTCCACTGAATAGGATTAGTCAAGCCATGCTCCACCATGACTCTAAATTCAAACTTGTTTTGCCTTGTCTGCAACAGTAGCTACATTTATGGGCAAAGCGTGGATAGATCAATTGTTGCTGTACTTTGATGTATACACAACTGTGGGGATAGTACATTACCCCTCAGTCAGATTATGGCTTTGCATGTCAGGGGAGACAAATTTCACCATGTACTGTCATGTTCTGAATTCATTTTGTGCTTACATTAAATATTCTCATCAAGAGAGGAAACAAGTTGCAAGCAAAGGGAAAAGAATGAACCCTTAACATGTATACATACACACACACACACACACACATACCAGAAGGTCCAACTTCTGCCTGGTGACCCATTTGAACCAGCACTACACTTAGAGTCTCCAAACCTGCTCATGTTGGTAAGCACAATATTTTTGATTTCATGTTTGTGGTCAAACTTTCCCGTCCGTGCAGTAACAGCAGATGGAATTTTCCCCTGGAGCACTAAGCTTTTCTATTTTACACCCTTCCTCATAAAATCATTCCACAATCTTTTCAGCCCTCATGGTTTTTTCGACAGCTGCTAGTCGTCTGAACAAGTGAGCATTCGATCGCATTCAGGTACACACTGCGTTTCACACTGATACCAACTACCTAAAACACCCCCCCACACACACAACAGCTTGAGAATCACTGTCAATCATGACATGCTAAACCATACTACTGTGATTGGAATCACTTACACAATAATAATAAGATAGATAGATAGATTAAAGAGAGAGAGAGAGAGAGAGAGAGAGAAAGAAAGAGAGACATAGCGAGTGTATGGGTGAGTGAATGTGGACAAAAACAAAACAAATGAGTTCCTTTTAATTACTGAAGGTTTTATTTCCACAGTGCTGCTGATGTGGAAGGGCTGTGTCTGAGACTGAAGTACAATTAGCCTAAGGCCCACAAGGAACACACACACCACCAAATCACTGCTCCATTAGCCCGCTCCCCAGCGGCAGGGACCTGCAAGAGTGTATGTATAAGAGAGAACGAGAGCTTTCAGACCAGTTAGTGAAAATGACTTTACTAGGTCATCCAGAATATAAAATGTTACATAAAGCTTTTCCACAGTTTTGCTGAATCGCAAAACAATGCTCTCCATGTTCCACCCACAGAGAAGTTCTTTCATAGCAAGTGTTGATAGGTTGAACATGCTTTACAGAACAAATATCTCATTTAAAATAATGAGAGACTGTCGCACACAACTCAGTGTCTGTCAAAATAATTTAGAGCACATTATACACTTCAAATCATGTTTTGTATGTGTGTAAAGGATCACACTTTTCATGTAATCTAGCTTACGCAATATGATCAGTGCATACAGTGCGCAAACGTTAACATCTCCAGTCAAATTACATTTTTATTGTTTTTTTATGTGAAAATAAGTTACTACAACCTCTACAGTGACCCCACCTCTGCACATTTTAATGCACAATTACTGTTTATTTGCTGAATTTAACATATTGGGAAAAAAAAAATTGTGGCCTGTGCAAATGTTGAGGCACTTATGTTCATGCATATATGTGTGTACATATATATAATATATATATATATATTATATATATATATATATATATATATATATATATATATATCAATACACATATATGTCTACAAAAAACAGATGTGTGCTGAGAGGTCAAGAGAGCAGCACAGTTTGGTGATTTTCCTCTTCAAATATGTACTAAACCTTGTAACTAACCACTGGAATGGGTGTATTTGTGCAGGGAAATCACCAAACCACACTGGGCTAAATCCACTGCCTGACAAGATTTCTTATTTTGAGTTTTGTTTCAAAATAGGTGTGACCAACGAAAAATTAGAAAATTGGCAGACACCAACTGGACAGTGAGATTGCATTTCAGCAAGAAATGCTGACAGGTTCTTTGGATTTTCAGTGCTGCTATATGAAGGCCTACCCTGTCAGAGGTCAACACAGCTAAAGTAGTTTTGCTAATAAACAACTTTTTTTTTGGTAAAGAAATCTGCAATGTAAACTTCCTAATTTTACCAATTTCTACAGAAATAAATTTGATGAATGTAATTTTGCTGACATTCTGCTGTTGAAATGCTAGTCTGATCACCTCGCAGACCTTACTGAGATCTCCAGGGTTTTATATTTAAATGCCACATAAAGCTTTTCTCTTGTTCAGGTCCTTTTATGGAAATGAATTCAAAGAGTGTTAAAGAGGCTCTCTCTACTCTGCCCACAGGTGTGTGTATGTGTGTGTGAGAGCGAGTCAGTAAATACCTGTGAGCCCAGGGAGAGAGGGAGAAATTAAATGTGTGTGTAACTAATCTAAAATGTAGCAGGCTGTGTGTAATCTTACTGTTGCCACTGCTTTTTTTTTCAAACTCATTTCCTCTTACTTTCTCTCTCTCCTTTCTCTCCTCTTTTTTTTCATTTCATCTCTTTTTCCTCTTACTCTTATTGTTTCCTTTTTCTATCTCTCTCTCATCGCTATTCCTGCCTCGTTCCAAGGAAATTTGTTGCCTGCCAGCTTGCTCTATCAGCACTCTCCACCAATCAACACACACACACACACACACACACACGAACAATATGCTGAGGTATGAAATCAAACACACTCAAGCAAACATTATATTGCTACATTTTGTAATTACACACTAATAACCACTGGATATGGATAAAACCCAGATTACTTTGACCAACATAATTGACTTTAGCATTACATGAACACCTTGGCTATAACCTAAACAGATGCTTATTTACACTTTAGGACCCTACTGTGATGTGTCTGAATCACACAATGAAACTCAGCCAAACAGCAGCTAACAGGTTTACTGCCTGCTGCAAAATCCTGATTGTACAATGATGGACCAGGAATGAAATGTGTAGCCTAGTCAAGTTTTTCTGCACTTTCTAAAACATTTTTCAAAAGTCTTTAGCTATGAATGAGAAGCCAACTTCAGCCTCGCCCAAGCAACTAAATTGGTTTGTTTATGTGACTGGTGAGTACTGACGCAGATGTGTCCAAACTCATTTACTGATTTATGTGTATTTTCTCCCCTCTATAGTGTAATACTAATGATAAAGTGGGGATTCATTTCAGTCACAGCCCTTAATTCATCAAAACATTCACAGAAACTCATCTGGAGCAGTGATTGGTCAGGATGCTCACAGCACACAGTAAAAAACACTGATTGATAGTAGGTTGCCTATCATACCCTTCTGTGATATCAGTATTAAAAAGTCTGATATCATGACAACAATTAACAAATGAAACACAGGGCAGCTCTAATACATACTGAGAGAAGCCAATATACTGAGTTACCTCATCACACATACGCACACACATACACACACACACAAAACCACAAACACACAAACAAGAGTCTGAATGATCAGGTTGTTATTTCTCATCACTCGACTAAAGCAAACACTGCTGAATTTGTCAGCTATCAATTTTTCTCATTGTCTGATTTCACAACAGAATTCTTCTGAGTCTAACAATGGGTCAGAACTAATCATCATCTTTCTGTTCTCCTGTGGGTTGTCAGTGTGTGTGTGTGTGTGTGTGTGCATGTGTGTATGTGTGTGTGTGAGAGAGAGAGAGAGAGAGAGAGAGAGAGAAACACACATACACCTTACAAAGGTTTCCACAGCTATGTCTGCTTCAATATACAGAATTTATGCTGTTATAAACTAATTCCAAGTGGTCTGATGTTAAAAGGTTTATTGTAGAGAAACTTTGAGAGTGTTAAATCTGGAAAAAATAAATCTTTGGGGGCTGTTTTGCCTCACAACACCCTGCAGATACCTCTCCACCATGAATGGATTAAAAAAAAAAAAAAGGTTTTAGGCCAGAACCCTGTCTACAAACTATCCTAAAACAATATCTCAGGGATTAAGCCACATATTCATAGCCATTTAATGTAGTAACTTTCTGTGAGCTAGCTTTTACAATTCTGACTTGTCAAACTACTCGGAATGACTTTGTTTACATCTTATCCATTCAATTATTGCGAAAAGCTTGAAAAACTGCGGAACTTCCTTATAATACCATTTGCCCAATCGCTGAAGGACGCATTCCATCTCCTCTCAAAAATAACAATGAGTGAATAAATCACATACACACCCTCATCAGCTGCTCTATCTGAGACAAAATGCTCCAGTGAGATAGCTAATAAGACACTCTTAAACTACAGAGGAAGAAAATGTATCAGACAAGCTCACCATCTAACTGGAGTTTTAATAACACAGTGAAGAGTGTACTTGATATCGAAGGATAACAAAGCACTGATGATGGGCTTGAGAGAAATGAAAGATGTAGAGAGAAGTAATGAACTCCATTCATATCTGAGCATAAGAGAGACTGAGAGAGAGAGAGAGAGAGAGAGAGAGAGAGAGAGAGAGAGCAAGCTAGAGAGTAAAGGAGAAGAGAGGGATCGAAACTGATAGCTCTGATATTCCTTAATGTTCTCAATGTTTATTCCTGATGTTTTAATGATGCTTTAGCAATACTGTATCTAAATACAGTCACAGCAATAAAGCTGACAGAACTGAACTGAACTAAACTGAGACAGAGTGAGAAAGAAAAAGGAGAACGGCAGAGAGAACGAGAGAGAGAGAGAGAAAAATGTCAAAATGTTCTTAATCTTGACTCTAAACTTTAATGATGCTTTG